TATTCATGCACTTCTTATAGGGAATCTGATGGGGATGTTAATGACCTGCAAATGACAAGTTTTAAAAGTTTAATGGTGACTGTATTGCCAATTTTTAATAACTTTTGTAATAACTTTCTTGAAAGAAACAGGCACAAGGGAAATGAAATGAACTTCATGTTTGAAAGTTAACATTGTCAGTGGCATTTGTTTTTCAGGGGCCAGAGAATTCAGAGATGAAACAAGCCTATTTAAGTAGTAGCCGTAAGAAATACAAAACGTCACATCATCTCCCCTTAATACATTGACAACTTGCACTCACAGAACTGCAAACATAGTAAAATAAATGATTAGATAGACACAGATTTTAAGACCATTTCCAATGTGTAAGGCAGTGACCACAAAGCTTTGTCTAAGCGAGGGCTTCATTAGCAACTTACTCTGTACTAAACAAATAACAGCAACCACTACTGATTAATATTGGTATGGTCTACAGAGGCTACAGGTTCCAGCATACGATTCCACTTTGCGACTTAAAAACATGGAGCATTGCATGCTGGAATGGTAGTTTCTTTGGGCTGCATGTCTGTGGTTCAAGATAAGTGGTCTGGGATCACATTGTAAATTACAGAGTAATAGGTCATCAGGACCAGATGGTATTCATCCAAGAGTTCTGAGGGAACTCGAATATGAAATTGCAGAATTACTGTGTTATGTAATTCTGTTGCTTAAATCAACCTCTGCACTACGTGACTGAAGGATAACTAATGTAACACTATTTTTAAATGGCTTCAGAGGCGATCCTGGCAATTGTAGGACATAAGCTTATCTTCAGTACCAAGCAAACTGGTTGACTACAATAAAGAACAGAATTCTCAGACACATAGATGAAAACAATATGATGGGGAAGAGTCAACACATCTGTTGTAAAGGGAAGTCATGCCTCACCAATCTATTAGAATTCTTCGAGGTATTCAACAAGCATGTGGACAAGGGTGATTCAGTGGATACAGTGTACTTGGAGTTTTTAACAAGGCCCTCACCAAAGGCTCTTAAGCAAAGTAAGCGGTCATGGAATAAGAGAGAAGGTCCTCTCATGGATCAGTAACTGGTTAAAAGACAGGAAACAAAGGGTAGGAATAAATGGTCAGTTTTCACAAGGGAGCGAGATAAATAGTGGAATCCCCCAAGGATCTGTACTGGGACCAGGACTGTTCAATATATTCATACATGATCTAGAAAAGGGGGATAAACAGTGAGGTGACAAAGTTTGCAGACAATACAAATTACTTACGATAGTTAAGTCAAAAGCTGACTACCAAGAGTTATAAAGTGATCTCACAAAACTGTGTGACTGCGCAAAAAATGGCAGATGAAATTCAATGTTTATAATTGCAAAGTAATGACTTTTGAAAATATAATCCTAACTAAACATGCAAAATACAAAATGATTGGGTCTAAATTAGCTGTTACCAATTGAGACAGAGCTTGGAAACATCATGCATAGTTCTCTGAAAACATCCACTCCATGTGCAGTAGCAGTCAAAAAGCTAACATGTTAGGAATCATTAGGAAAAGGATAGAAAATAAGACAGAAGATATTGCAATGCCATTGTATTAAATCAATGGTATTCCCACACCTTGCATACTGTGTGCAGTTCCAGTCTCCCCATCTCAAAACAGATGTATTAGAAGTGTAAAAAAGTAAAGAGAAAGGGAGGGAAATGTTTAGGAATATGTAACGGCTTCCAAATGAGAAGAAGTTAAACATGGGATGTTGTGAAGGCCAAAAGTATTACTGGGTCAAAAAATAGTTGGAGCTATCCTCCATGAACTTCTCTATCAATGGCTATTAACTAGGATGGTCAGGGACACAGCCCTATGATCTGAGTGTCCCTAAACCTGTGGGCAAGTCTACACTAGCGCGCTAGCCTCAGCTGCAGCACGTGTGGTGAAGACACGCTATGCTTATGGGAGAGTGCTCTCTAGTCATCATAATTACTCCCACCCAACTGCAAACAAAACCTACAACTCTGAAGAAAAAATCACCCTTTTTGATGCCTCACTTTATTAATGGAACATTGATTCCAAAATAACACTGTATGAACCATACCCTTCTCCTTAGGCTTAGCTGCTCATAGGTTCCATACCCCAATCTCCCTTGTATTCAGAGTAGAGTTAAATGATCTATACTTTCTTCACTGAGTGCCAGATTTTTAAAGGTATTTAGGCACCTAAAGATGCAGATAGCCTCCTAGATGCCTAGCTCCTACTTTTGTAGCACTTTTGAAAATCCAGTTGGGTGCCTATTTGCATCTTTAAACACTTAAATACATTTAAAAATCTGGCCTTGAATCAGCTTTTTTTTTTTTATTTTACTTCAACCATTAGTTCTAGAAACTTACTTTAAAAAAAAAGAAACAAACTGAGATTCTTGTGTAAATTTTGACTCCAGGAGCTGGAATCCTAGCCCCTCCATTGATCTGAATCGGAATCTTGCCACCCTTTTACAATGTGGTCTGCACTTATTTACAAGTTCTGCCTTAGTTACCTTTGCTTGCTGACTCTTTTCTTTCCAATTTTATGTTTTTATTCTCACACACTTGAAGAGGGTGGCTTTGGACAGCTATAATTTTTTTCCAACTAGTAATTTTTTTTCCTCTGCTGTGAGTGCCTGGTTCTTGAAGTCAAGTCCAAGTCTGAGAAAGCCGCTCTCTTATAGAGTATCATGAAATTACTTACCTCATCATAGCTGCCTCAGCTCAGTGCTCTGCTGACAAATCCTGCATTTTACCGAGTGCTTAACCCTCTCCATGCTAGCCCTTTATGGGCATATACATCTCATCATCTCAGTCACTTCCTCCTATTTTTTTCCAGGGAGCTCTGCAGCTTTTTACCATTCTGACTATGTGTCAGCATTCTCCATCATGTACTGACCCTCAGACCAACCACTATGATGAACATCTCCTTGAAACAATACATCTTAACTTATTGTGAAAATCAAATATCTTTTCAATGACTAATGTCAAATATTTTATTTTAATAAAAAGTTTCACATTTCACCATAAAATATCTGAAGTCTCTTTTGATTATTTTGCTTTGTTTCTTTATAGCCTGTTTAAAAAAAATAAGAAAGAATCCTGAAAAATACTGTTCTTAATACTAAAACAGTAATATATCCAACTTGGTTTATGGCATTTAGCTCTGATTTTGTACAACTTCATCCAAGTTTCTGAGACAATTTTTTTTTTTTTAAGTTTGCTCTTGCAACAGAGATTTAAGGTAATGAGTCTTGGGTGCAAATCACAAGGTAATGAACTCCATGGAGACTGATGTAAGGAAGCAATTAATAGGAGCTGAGGGGTAGTCAACTCTCTTATTCACAACTTGTATAGCATGGATAATATTTTTACAGCCTAGGACACTGGCAGGCAAATCAAGTTGATAGCAAAAAAATATAGTTATGGTTTAAGTATATATAATGTAGTTTGGCATTAAGAAAAATATACTGTACACACTGTTATCCTAAACAAGACTCTGCAAAGAAATGGGTTTTATTCTAAAGCTTAATTATTGTTAGCTCTGAAAATATTGATTACAGAAATCAAAACTTCCTAAATAACAAGTTTTAAAAATCAAACCAGGATCACGCAACCTCTGAACCAAGGATACAGGAGAAAACAATGCTAATTGGCAGATACTAATTATTTGCTGTGTGTTGTTAACTATATAATGTGGCAATGTGGCTATTATATTCTGCATTTATTCCAGAAATGTTTGTTTTTTAATAAACTCTGTGGGACAAATCCTTTCCTCTTTTTGCTTGCACACAAAGTCTGAAAAGCAATAAAACTGGTATTGTGTTGGACCCTACGTTCCGAGGACAATTACTTTGTGGCAGCTCAGCTTTGTCTTAGCAGCATGGCTGGGGAGTTTGGGGAAAAAACAGTGGCTAAAACTCCCTGTGTAATGGGATTGTGGGGGCAGTAACTACTACTTCAGCTAATGGTGAGCTGGAGTGCCTGCTCTGATGCTCTCTTTCCTGAATAGGAGATTCTGTTCCCCTGACTCCAAGTGGTATCCTCCAGACATATCCTGTTTTCTAGAGTTTTACAAGAGAGCAGAAATTGGTCCAATAATGCAGTTGGTGGTTAATTTCTAATCTGAAATAATTTTCTGTTTATATTTACAGTCCAAATTAGGGTTTTGGTTCATTTATTTTGGTTTTGTTTCCAGACTATCTCTGAACATCAAGGATGACATTCTGACTCCACTGAAGTCAATGGGAGTTCTGCAATTGACTTCAGCACGGGCAGGAATTCACCCTAGCTGCTCAACTCTGCTAGGATAGTTTGGAAAACAGTATTTCAAAACAAAATTTATGGGGCGTAAAATTGTCCCTAGCAAAATATAGTGAAACATTGTCATTGCTTTTGTACCATAGTAGCGAGAACTCTGTTGGCTTTCAGAATATCTGTTTGGAATGAGTATTAAAATCTCTTTTTTTCTTGTATATATTAAGTTTACTAAAGCTATAAATATTCTGTTTTACATGTGTATATATAATTTATCTTGCATTGTACTTTCAACGTTTCCATGAAATGCATTGTATAATATATACATATTTAATTTTTTTAAATTGACATCTTTGTTTACACTTCCTCAATCTAAAGAGGGAGTCAATTGTTTATTTTCTCGTTTGCCCTTCCTTCTCCTTTCTTCTTTTCTCTTCCTTTCCAAAGCTTGTTGGCCCTTAACTCAAAAGTATATCAACAAAGAGATTACTATCTTGATACATGGAAGTTATATGAGTCAACCCCATTTATGGTTTTAATCCTCTTTCGAGGAAATAACATGATCTAAAACAGAGACTGAAAGTATTGGGTTTATAACTTATCCCCATATTTTCTTTGAACTTTTAGCACAAAAATTTGGGAGAGGGAATGGCAGCCTTTCTTTATTTTTTTCTGTAGTTTCAAAGTGTATTTGAAGTGTGTATATTCTTTTTGTTTTTGTTGTAGTTAACACCAGTTGGAACCACCATCTTTACAGGATTCTCTGGGAACAATGGTGCCATGGACATAGATGATGGTCCCAATGGCCAGATAGAATATGTCATCCAGTACAATCCTAATGACCCAGTAAGTGAAGTTCTTCTTTTCAGGACATACACACTGTACAAAACTAGCATGTGTATTCTTTTTTTTTAAACCAGCTTAGTTTACCTTTCCTGCTATCTGTCTCTTATGGTAAACACCATTAATAATTCTTCTTATTTTGGGTCATTTATTTCATAACCCTCCCCAGCAGTTGCTTTACTCACTCTTATTTGTCATGCATTTTCAATCCACAATGAGTAATTTAATATATATATATATAATTGTATTGATAGAAAAATATTAGGGTGTATTTTAAGAGGAAAATTGGTAAAGTTCCTTAAAGAATCATTCCCAGAATTAATTTATTCTGGTGGGGAATAAAAAAAATGAACATTTAAAACTGTTTCTTAGTTGTGAATCAAAATATTAGTCCTGATAATCCAATTTTAGTCCACTACCCCACACTGCGAGATGATGGCAGATAATCTTAATGAATACAGCATGCAGTTCATCTGAGAGCATGCATTCATGATTTAATGCTCTACTTTGGTGTTTCAAATCCTCAGAAGAAAATTATTTTTGTTTCCTTTTGCAACTTCATTTAAAAAACCCTGATGCAGTTTTGCTCTGTTACACTAGTATCAAGTGCAATCAGCATGGCCAGAGGGCAGCAGGAGAGGGTTAGAAGGGAACCTTATTCCCTGTAGAGGGAAGAAAGTTTGCTATAAATTAATTAAAGCACCTGAAGCCAATTAGAGCACCTGACACCAGTCACCTGATAAAAAACCCCTGCTTCAGTCAGACAGGGGAAGGAGTTGGAGCAGAGAGCAGTTTGGAGGAGTTGAAGCAGAGTGGATTGGTGTTGGAGCAGAGAACAGTTTGAAGGAGTAGAAACAGAGTGGATTGGTGTTGGAGCAGAGAGCAGTTTGGAGGGAAGCAGAGGAAAGTTTGGAGAAGTGCTGTGGTGGGCTAAGAAGACCAAGACCCTAGGTAAAGGGACACCTGGCTTGTGCAGAGGGAGGACAGAAAGCCTCCACAAGCTGAAGGGCAGGAGAGGGAAGTAGCCCAGGGGAAGGAACCGCTAGTTCAAGTGGTTTACCGCTGTCCCTTGGGCCCCTGGGCTGGGACCCGGAGTAGAGGGCGGGCCCGGGTCCCTCCCTCTCCACTCCCCTCCTCTAGGACACTAGTGGGGCAGTTAATATCCCAGTTCAGGGGCAAGAAATGGTGCCCTGAACCGCTCCCCCCCGCCCCAAGAAGAGAAAGCGTGAGACCCATCATAGTAGTGCCGGCAATTTGCCACACAAGGTAGAGCAAGTCCATTAATTTACAGTAAATTGGATCTTAAAAGTAGTTGTATTTGTGCTATTATCAAGAACCACTAAGCTCTTTTCCCTTTTCCCTATTTACTTAAAGCATAATGTCTCTTCCACATATCAGATTTGAATGAAGCCCCATGATTCCTATGACTTCGTGCTTTGAGCATAATTTTTGTTCTTCTTTACAAAGAGTTTGTAAAAAGTTCATTAAACAGACATGAGGATTCATCTGGTATGAGAGAATTGCTACCTGGCATAGAGCCAGCCTAGACAGCTCTGAGCATGGAAAATTCTGGAGGGTAGGGGGTAGGACATTGTCAATTCATCATCTTTCAGGAAATGCCAAATGACTGTACCAGCATTTGCTTTGATGAGGAGGGCAGGGAAGGGCCAAAAAGATTTTTCACCCTGGGTGGCAAAATGACTAGGACCACTGCTGGCTCTGTGCCACCTCCTTCTGGCCCCTTGTTATAAAGAGATTTTGGGGGGCAGAGGAGACATTGCCTCACTGCACTCCAATTTCCAATTGGCATAATAATACTTTTAGGGGGTATTACATCACAACTGTAATTTAGAGCAGTCCTGACCCCTTTGCATCTATTGAAGCTGTGCAAAGGGGTCATATCTAGGATCAGGATCTGGTCCTTTTCTTTCAGTAAAAGCTGATCTGGAATATTCTGATATTTGCAAATCTTTTTCTCTAAATTCTTCATATTGTTTAAATTTGGGGCTCTCAATTAAATGCAGTTAATACATGCAATTAATACAAACTAATTAACTAGGTTTTAAAAAAAATCATGATTAATCACAGTTTTAATCACACTGTTAATAATAGAATACCAATTTAAATGTATTATAAATATTTTTGGATGGTTTTTCTACATTTTCAAATATATCGATTTCAATTAAAACACAGAATAAAAAGTATACAGTGCTCACTTTATATTATTTTTGATTACAAATATTTTCCCTATCGATAAATAAAAGAAATGGTATTTTTCAATTCACCTCATAAAAGTCCACTCAGTGCTACTTCTTGTTCCGCCAATTACTAAGGCAAACACGTTTATTTACATTTACAGGAGATAATCCTGCGTGCATCTTATTTATAATGTCACCTGCAAGTGTTCACATAGCACTGTTATAAGCCGGCATTGCATGGTATTTATGTGCAGGATATGCTAAACATTCATATGCCCCTTCACGCTTCGACTTATGCGCTCTAAAGTTTTACATTATTTTATTTCTGAGTACAGTTGTGTAAAAAATAATAATTCAACATTTGTAAGTTGCACTTTCAAGATAAAGATATTACACTACAGTACTTGTCTGGGAATATATATTTTTTTTCCTTCATGAAAATGGTGCAGAATTATTCCACTGGAAATATTCATAAATTAAGTGATTTTACACATGGTCAATATTTTCATCTAGTTCCCCTATTATGATCATTATTTTACCTTGAAGGAAAAAAAAATAAAAGGAGAAAGTTGCCATTATAGCATATTAGTACATTATACAAATTATTGTTGAAAGGTCTATCACAGGGGTCGGCAACCTATGGCACACGTGCCAAAGACAGCACGCAAGACTCCAGCGTGCCATTAAAAATATTGCCCCAGCCCGGCCCGCTTTCCTCTGCCCTCCGCTCCCCACACGGGGGCAGGGAGCAGAAACATAGGCATGCGCACGGGGTGGGCAAATAGCCCCACTCTCCCAGCGCGGCAAGCCGCGGGGTCCGCGCTTCCAGGCCGGAGCACCCGTCCGAGCTCAGCAAGCCACCGGCCTTCCCCTCTCCCCTGGAGTCCTGTCGCCGCGCGCGCAGCGCTCTGGGGGCCGGGGCTGCGCGCTCCCATGGGGCTGCGTATCTGGCTCTGCTTGGAGCCTCATGGTAAGGAGGCCGGGGGGGTTGGATAAGGGGTGGGGGCAGTCAGGAGACAGAGGGCAGGGTGGGTTGGATGGGGGTGGGATCCCGGGCAGGGTGGTTAGGGGCGGAGGGGTCTCTGGAGGGGGCAGTCAGGGAGCAGGGGGGTTGGATGGGGTATGGGAGTCCCGAGGTCTGTCGGGGTTGGGGGGTGGATAGGTGTCAGGGCAGTCAGGGCAGGGAGCAAGGAGGGTCCTGGGGGGCAGTTAGGGTGGGGGGTCTCTGGAGGGGGTGGTCAGGGGACAAGGAGCGGGAGGAGTTCGGGGGTCCTGTCAGGGGGTGGGGAGTAGTTGGATAGGCATGGGAGTCCCGGGGGGGTCTGTCTGGGGGTGGGGGTGTGGATAAGGGTCGGGGCAGTCAGGGGACTGGTAGGGGGTAGGGCCCTAGGGGGGCAGTCAGGGGACAAGGAGCAGGGAAGCTTAGATAGGGGGTGGGGTCCTGGGGGGCAGTTAAGGGCAGGGGTCCCAGGAGGGGGTAGTCAGGGGACAAGGAGCGGGGGGGTTGGAGGTTCTGAGGGGGGCAGTCACCCAGCCCTCTGCCTTGAGCCCTGACCTCCCCCCCACACACATACAGCCCTCTGCCCTGAGTCCTGCACCCCCGCACACACCCCAGATCCCTGCCCTGAGCCCTGTACCTCCCTCATACACACCCAGCCCTCTGCTTGACTCCTTCACCCCCCCCATGACCCCAGCCCTGACTCTGGCACCCCCACACATACCCAGCCCCCTCCCGCCCTGACACCTGCACCCCCTCACATGCCCCCAGCCCTCTACCCTGACTCTTGCACCCCCCACATCCCGACCCCCACCCTGAGCACCAAACGGGAGCTCCTGCACACACACTCCCACATTCCCACCTGCAACCCTCGCATCAAATGGGAGCTGCCCAGGTAAGTGCCCCACATCCAAACCTCCTGCTCCAACCCTGAGCCCCCTCCCTCATTCTAGCTCCTGGCCAGACCTTTCACCCCCAGCCCTGTGCTCAGTGCACTCCCATCCTCAGCTCAGTGCAGAGCGAACTCTCCCAAAACAAAGAGCACAAACAAAAGCCTTCCCCCCACCAAGATTTGAAAGTATCTTGTCCCCTTATTGGTCCTTTGGGTCAGGTGTCCGCCAGGTTACCTGAGCTTCTTAACCCTTTACAGGTAAAAGGATTTTGGAGTCTCTGGCCAGGAGGGATTTTATAGTATTGTACACAGGAGGGCTGTTACCCTTCCCTTTATAGTTATGACAGTTCTAAATAAAGAATTAAAAACAAACAAACAGATACTTAAGACAATAGTCTGTCTATATTCATGTCTATCTTTCCCTGGGACATACAGTCCCTGGAAACCAGGGAAAGCTGCAGTTACTTTCAGGCACTTCCACAGGATCTGTCTTTCTCTTCCTTGTCAGGCTGTTCTTTGTAGGAACAGCTGACTTGCGCCTCTCCTCTCTTGCTCTCCAGACTGTTTTCAACTGTTTAGTTTCTATTTGATCTCTGTGTTCACAGATTTTACAAAATGGCTGTGTAACTCTAACTGTGAGGAGAGGCAGAGGCAAATCAAGACAAATGGGATAATTTTAAATTTTTAGAACATTATGAGGGAAAATTTAAAAATTGTACCCTGGAGGATAAATAAAATAGAATGCTACCAAATACTTAGTACTTATAATAATAAACTATAAGTTACCAAAACATTAACTTTTGTTAGCTTGTACACGCTACTCTTCCTTGCTCTGTGCAGTTAATACCAAATGCATCGTTAAAAGAACAAGAGATTACTCAACAGTATACTGGGTCACTTCAGAGAAGAATTGGTG